GTCACCGACAGCCAGGGCCGCGTGGTCTCCTTCAAGAACGCCATCATCATCCTCACATCAAACCTGGGCAGCGCTGAGGTGTTCAACTACACCTACAAGCAGCGCGCCAAGGGCGCGCCCGGCAGCATGGCGGGTGAGGGGGGCAGCCGATGGAGCCCTGCTGCTTTGCACAGTATGCTCTCGCAAACACATCCTTTTTGCTGCCCCCACCACACATGCGCACATGCACGCAGGCACGAACAAACGCACGCACGTATGAACGCACGCACGAACGCACACACGCACCCCCCCACACACACACACAAACACACGTGCACACACACACGCACCCACGCACACACACACACACACACACCACAGACATGCGTGAGCTGGTGATGGAGAAGGTCCGCAAGCACTTCCAGCCCGAGTTCATAAACCGCATCGACGAGTTCATCATATTCGAGCCCTTGGCCGCGGAGCAGATCGAGACCATCGTGCGGCTGCAGGTGGGTGTTGCGATCTGAATCTCTTCTTGTTGTCCGAGGTCCGAGGTTTGAGGGGCGCGGCACGAGACGCTGCGCGCGCTCTCATCTGGGGCCGCGCAGACTTGAAGGCGCGCCCTGGGGTCACGGGACAGAACCTGCTTCCTTCAACCCTCAAGTAGCCGCGTTTGTATGCTCTGGATCCAGAACCACCGCGCTGGCCTGGGGCGAGCAAAAGCGGCATCGCCTCGTTGACCGGGGCACCCTGGCATTCGACCGCCCAGCGGCGCCGCCGCGCGGTCCGACTCGCGCGGCGATGGTGCTGCCGCGACGCCATGCCCAAATTCATCCCCCGCGCCCCCAGGTGCGCGGCGTGGGGCAGCGGCTGTCTGAGAAGAAGATGAAGCTGCTGCTGCAGGACACGGCAGTCAGGTGCGTGCGCGCTTGTGTGTGTGTGTGTGTGTGCGCGCGCGTGCGTGTACGTGTGTGTGTGTGTGTTTGTGTGTTAAGAGTTGGGGTCTCTCGTCAGTCGGATTGTGAACGAGTGGAGGAGAGGGGCAGAGGGAGTGTGAGCATTTGTGAAACCCACCAGCCTCGTAACAGACACCTTGCACACTGAGTCATGCGCGCGCGCGCGCGCACACACACACACACACACACAGTTCTCCTTTCTTTGCACACATCCCCACGTAAGCACTCAACCCTCAACCCGCACCCCTCCATGCTGCGCTCAACCCCCTGAACCCCATCCCCTTGCCCAAACCCCAACCACCCCCAAACTCCAACCCTTCAAAAACCGCCGCAGGCACCTGGCTGAGGTGGGCTTTGACCCGGTGTACGGCGCGCGCCCTGTGAAGCGCGCCGTGCAGCGCGAGCTGGAGACGCCCCTGGCCAAGGCCCTGCTGACCGGCCAGTTCCAGGAGGACGACACGGTCGTCGTCGACTGCGCCGGCGGCGGTGACATCAGCGTGACGTCAGCGGGCGGCGGCGGGGGCGGGACGTGGCTGACGTTCTCGCGCATCCCGGGGGTCTCGGCGGTGGAGGACGCGGATGCGGATGACAAGGCAGAGGGGGCCGGCGAGGGGTCGTCCGCGGCGGCCGCGGCGGCGGCAGCCACAGGGCCGATTCCTGTGACGATCCCGGGGCACACCTACCGGCCGTCAAAGCTGGCGGCCCCGCCGGCGGCGGCGGCGGCGGCGGCGCCTGCGCCGGCTGCGGCGGCGGGCCCAGGCAGCGGCGGCGCCGGCGGGCGGTTCGACCCGCTGGCTGCGGGCAGGGCAAAAAAGAAGGCGCAGCCGCAGGCAGAGCAGCAGCAGCAGCAGCAGCAGCAGCACCAGCAGCACCAGCAGCAGCAGCAGCAGGTCGGGCCGCCGGCAGCCGGCAGCAGCGAACCGCCCGGTCCTGGGGAGCAGCAGAGCGCCGACCACCACCAGCAGCAGCAGCAGCAGCAACCGCAGCAGCAGCAGGAGCAGCAGCAGGCGAACGGCGCGGGGGACGCGCTGGACGCTGAAGTGGCGTCCCTGCTCCATGGCGGCCAGACACCTGCATTCCTGCGCACCCCGCGGCGGCGGGACGAGCAGGAAGAGGCGCCGACGTGCGCGGAGTGATGCCTCAGATCTCACATTTTGTGGGGCCCTAGGTTTGAGGGGCGGCGGGCTGGCGGGGCGCGAAGGTCGATATTCGGCCGTCGCGCGGCCCGGGGCCTTGGCTTGAGGCGAGGCGTGCTCGGGCGCGGCGCAGCGGCGGGTTTGGAACGCACGACAGTCTGGGTGCCTGTTCTGGCCCCGGGCTCTGAGTTCTCTGAGTGTAACCATGGCCCGGCGCTCAGCAGAAAGAGTCGCGGGGTTACACAATTGGGGGCCGGGCGTTCGATTCGCGACGGGACTGTGCACGTGCCCGCGCTTTGTGGCTAGCACACCGGCGGGCGCTAGTCCACAGCCCACTCATGCAAGCAACTGGCGCTGCCGCCGCACAGAAGTGGCTGTTTTTGCAGCACCCTTATCCATGCGAGCGTGGGCAGGATGGACACTGAAATTTTGTACTTGGTATCAAGCAAGGCTCCACACTTCGTGATCATGGCTGACTCACGTATATCAACGCATCCAGTGCAAGCCGCCTGGATGTTGCCTGCACACGTCGTCGCCATGTGCCGCGCTGCATGTGCACTCAGTCCAGCAGTCCAGCAGGCTGCTCCAATGTGTTGTGCGCTTTGCTGCAGTCGAGCACCACACACGGCATGCGCGCAGCTCAGGCCGCCGAAGCCCTCTCAGACCCTGCTCAACATACTCAAATGCCCCACAAATCTATTGCGCCCCGACAGCCCCACTGCGCCCCGCAAGCGCCCCCCACCCTCCCCCCGCCCCCCGCTGCTGGAAAGATTGTTTGCCTTGCTATGTTGCAGTCACCGCCATTCACTGGTTACCATTGATAAAAAGTACAGATGCAGGCCCGCACCATTCTTCCATGATCGCAACTTCAGACACACCCAACTGGAAGGCACGTTCAAAACAAGAGCCGCGTGCAACTGCGGCTTACATGGGCCTGCGGCACGCCAAATCATACATGGGGCAAAGTCCAAACGACGGGGTTTGTGTGTGAAAAGTGCCGGCCCAGAGGGCGGGTTTGTGTGTGAAGAGTGCCGGCCCAGAGGGCGGCTGCAACAACGGGGGTTCTTCAGCGAGGTAGGGGTGGGCCCTCGCAGCTGGTGGCAAGAATGAAGCCAAGTCAGGCATGGGCTCTCCCGTGACCCTCACATTTACTTGGGGGTCTGCCTCACACCATACTTGGCCCCAGCCTTGGGAGCATCGACCTTCGGGTCCTGGGGAGCAGCAATCGCGGCGCCCGCATCGGTCGCAGTGCCCTGGCCGGGGCTGACAACAGACAGGTTCTGGTTGGTGGCTGTTGGGGCGCCCACTTTGGTCGCAGCAACCTGGCCTGCGTCGGTTGTGGTGCCCTGGCTGGGGCCAGCAGTGGTCAGGTTCAGGTTGGTGGCTGCCGGAGTGCCCGCTTTGGTGGTAGCGACCTGGCCGGGGCCAACCGCAGACGCGTTGGTGCCCGGAGTGTTCCTGAGGTGACGGGCAGCCAGGGCAGGGGACGCCAGGACGGACAGCGCCAGGACGGCCGCCAGCACGCGGAGCCCACAAGCCATGATGAGAACCGGCAAGCCTGGGTGTGGGTGTCGGCGCGGAGAAGGGGTGGGGGTGCCATCCGTCACTGCGTTGCCATGGAGGTGTGACAGGTGGGTTGGGCCTGGGAGCGCACGTGACCAGAAATCCACCCCAGCTGCAACTGGCAGCACTCCATGCAGCTTTAATCGCCCTCAGAGGACCAGAGAGGCCCATCACGCACTTGGGTCTGTAAGAGGGCACGGAGTTCGGTGTGGCCGGAGGAGGTGGGAGATTTGTTCGTCCCGTGGCTGGAGCGACGCAGGTCGAAACGTACAAACTGCACAGTGAGCTGGAAGACGGAAAGAAATCTCTCACTTTGACGTCAAATGCTTGCAACGCTGCCTGGCCTCATCCAGTGACACCGTGAGTGACTCGCAAGATACGGTGCTGATCGCCACGAACAGCCTCGCCTTCCTGACTGTCAAAGTCATGTTGATGTACCACACTCGTGACAATGTCAATGGGCCACAAATGGCGGCCTATCGCGGCGTCAGCCCCAAGTCTTGGCCAGCGGCCAGCATTGGCCAGCGCCCGACTCAAGGGGTACACACACCTCGATAGCGATTACCCCTGCATCTTAGCAGCGGCCAGGGATCTACACTGACTGGATTTGCATTTCATATGAGATACGGTCGATTGCAAGTAACGATCCTAGTGGTGAAGATACTGAGCACTCAGAAGGCCATGCCAACCAGCTGAGTGCAACGACACCCGAGTGCCGCAAGCAATACCACACTGTGGTGCTGCGACTCAAGTGGCCATCCCCTCTCCACCTACGTGCTGGATATTTTTGATTGGCTTCCTCCTTTTGTGTCGCATCTGTTGGGACCAATCGCGCCAGACAGGGCAAGATCCAGCCTGGCCAGCCAGCGAGGAGTGGTGTCACTGCGCCCACATGTGGTGTTGGCGCCAAGAGCAGGCTCGCTGACAGGAATACATTCGAAATCAAGCCAAGCCAAGGCTGCGACTGAAGCTCCGTAGCAGTAGAGCCTTTTACCATCGGTATGGAATGTGTAGTTCTTGTTCTTCGTTGAAGCCCAGAATGGCAACGTATAGGCACTGGCCGTGTCAAAAGGTGAGTGGACGATGATATTGTGACACGCCCCACGGTTGCCCGCTTTTACAGTATACCTTTTAGGCTCACGATGTTGAAATTTGGATCAAGGAACATAACAGCGCGTAAAGACGCACGGCACTAGCTGCAGAGCAAGCATAATTATGATCCATAGCGGCCGTTTGCTCGCAGCGTGTACGTGCACGCCTAGAGCTTTGGCTCTGGCACGCCGCAAAGTGGCGCGGCAGTTTGGGTCGACCATCCCGCGCCCAGTGCCCTTCCTGCCCTTCCCTGAAGCCTGGTGGCTGTCCGACCTCTGCGCCCCCGCGCCTGCCAAGCACTGATTATGCAGTGAGACACGCCAATCATGGTGCGGTTCGGCCGGCAGCAGCCCAGCTGAGGAGGGCAAGTTACCCTGCCTTCTGCAAGCAGCTAGGCTCCAAGGGAGGGGCGCCCGGCAGTCCGCCCTTGCGTCAAACGGGTTCATGCATCCGTGATCCCAATTTCTAACAACAAGGCTCCCTGGTTGTCACCGCGCGGCAGATCTTATGCACCTTGGGTGAAAATCATTTTGCAACTGTTAGTCTCCCGCTTGCAACACGTGCATATCGTCAGAATCCTGAGCCACCCACTCACATAGAGGCTTTGTGCGCACGGCAAGGTGCAGTGGCCGACAGACTACTGTTCATTCAAGGGCGCCATTGCTTGGCAAGATGCAGCCTGATTGCATGCTGTGACATGATCCAGGAGCTTGCAGTTTGTGCCACGTGCTGTAGAGGTTGTGTGCAAGGCACACCACACATCACCTTCACACGCGAGTTACACCTCCTTAATTACACCTCTGTAGGTTGGAGCCGCAGGGTGCTGGCACGCATGCACACATCCGCGCTTAGGGTGGTGCTGCAAGTGTGGGCAGTGAGTGCGTTCAAGGTCGCGGCGCCAAGTCGGCAGAATGCTGCCTGAATCTTGCGCCAGAGTGCCAGTGCATAAGTAAAGCGGGCATGCCAAGCGCCCAGGTTCAACGCCAGAGCGCGAGTGCAGAGGGGCAGAGCCGAGCTGCAAGCGCGATCAGGCTGGTCAAAGACGGTCAAACACATGCTCAGGGGTGTGGAGCCGAGGGCGATGCCAGGTTGTTGGTGAGGCTGTTCCACAGATGAAAGCGAGCCCATCCGCGAAGCAGTCGCCCGCTGCCCCTCCCTCATGACCCAGAATCACCAATTGGCAATCCCATGCAGTTTGAGCACAATGCGCTCCAGTTTCGTTTGAAAAAGGTAGTTGGTTGCACTGAGCTCGCACACACTAACGGCAAGCCGTTCTCATGCCGCAGGCAAGGCCCAGCAATCGAGCAGGCGCGCGGGTGTGCCGCGATGGCCCGCCCCGCTCAGGGCTTCGTCGCGGGCGCCGCCTCCGCCTCCGCCGCCGCCGCCTTGGGGGCAGCCGCCTCCGCCTTGGGGGCAGCCGCTGCCGCCTTGGGGGCAGCCGCCTCCGCCTTGGGGGCAGCCGCCTCCGCCTTGGGGGCCGCCGCCTCCGCCTTGGGGGCAGCCGCCTTGGGCGCCGCCGCCTTGGGCGCCGCCACGACCTGCGCGACCGCGCTCTGGGCCGACTTCAGCAGGCTGTTCTTCAGCGCGACCACGCGGCTGATGGGGTCGGTGGGGGGCAGCAGGCGGGCCTTGAGGAACTTGACGCCCTCGTAGAACGCGGTGGAGGCGGCCTTGGCATAGGCAGGGTCGGACAGGTTGCCGCGGAGGGAGAAGCCGTGAGGGAAGCCCTTGTAGAAAGTGGTGTAGGCGGGGATACCCTTGGCGCGCTTGGCCTTGAACGTCTGCATGCAGAAGGGGGAGGAGAGGGGAGGGGGCGTTGGCGGGAGGGAGGTGGACGAGGCAGGATTGGTCGGCAGCACCAGTTGCGTGTCAGCACTCCCACACGCCCCAGCCTGTTTGTGAAATTGGGGCTCAGCTCCTGTGCAGCAGCTTTCTGTTGATTCCATGTGTCCAAGTCAATGTCCTTGTTGACATACGTGCGCCTTGCGTATACATTGGCTGGAATTGAGGACCAATGTCAACACCCCCCACGACACTCGACGCCGCACGGCCCACCTTCTCGATGTATGCGTACAGCGTCTCGTTGACCGAGTTGTCGAGCGCGGGGTCGGATTGCTGCAGGCTGATGGGACCGGTGATGGCGTCGATGTCGGCGGCCGTGACGGCAGAGATGTGGTAGCCGACGGCGGCGGCAATCTTGGGGGCGCCGGCGGCGGAGAGCCACACGGAGTAGCCGCCGCCCTGTTGTGGGAGTTCCAGGTACGGTGTTTGGCGGGGTTGTTGGGCGGGTGGCGGCTCATTGAGCTCGTGTTGGAGCGGCAGCGGCGTCTTGCGCGGTGCACCCTCTGCTGAAAACTAGACTACCTGCACCCTCCAGCTGCAGCCGTGGCCTTAGCCGTGCTCTCGGGAAAAGCCCACCAGCGCTCTCTCGCAATCTGCCCACCACACACAAGACCACAACACAGCCCGCAACACCCCACATCACGCGCAAGGGATGTTGCACCAGACCTCCCTAACAAAATTATCACACAACTATCACAAGGTCAGCCCACCCAGCAGAAGCCCTGCTGGCCGATCTTCTTGACCGAGGGGTAGGCCTTCTTGAGCTCGGCCAGCACGGCGGTGAAGTCCTTAAGCACACGGTCCTTGGGGTGGCGGGTGCGCCCTGGCCGGGGGCGCGAGGCGTGACAAGGGGGGGGCACTTCGTTGGCAGCAGGGGCAGGAGGGGAAAACTGTGCGTGGGGCGGCGGCCGGTAGGTGCTCGATCCAGTCGCGAAGCCGCCGCGGGCGGGTGCTATGTCTTCTGGTGGTGTATCTGGTCAACTCTCAATCGGGTGTAGTGAGGGGTGGGAGCGCTCCAGGGTCCGCCATGCACAGGAGGGGAAGCCGGAGCGCTGCATGCCGGCGAGGCAAGGCGCGGTTTCAGACTGTGTTGCAAAGAAGCGCGGGCCTGCCCCGCCTGCGCGAAGGGCTCACAGACAGCGGAGGTGTTGCGGGTGGCATCAGTCAGGGCGTCGCCCCTGAAGAAGTCGGGGATGACGACGAGGAAGCCGCCCTTCTTGGCCAGCCTGTCGGCCCACAGGCGGGTGTTGGAGAACTCGAAGCCATAGATGTCAGTGAAGATGACAACCTGAGTATTCGAAAAGGGTGGGAAATCGGCAGTGCATCTGACCGTCAAGCCGGCGCGGGGGTCGGTTTGAGACTGGCGGCGACGGGCGGCGGCTGGGTGATGCGATTTCACCAACGGGGCCGGGACTGCGGGACGCGCGGGCATCGGGCGCACCGCGGCGATGGGCTTGGCGTTGGCGGGCTCGGCGATGTACACGTCCAGGGGCGTGTCGCCCTTGAGCCACGTGGCCACCTTGCCGGACTGTGGCAGGGGGCGCAGCACGAATGAGGCGGGGCGCAGGGCGAGCGTGAGGCGGGCGCGAGGCGGGACGCGGTGGCCGGTGACACTGAAAAGGGGCTGCGAGATCGCGGATTATATGGTCATTGATGACTTGATTCAGGCATTAGGCATAGTTGCCGGTGACCTGGGCCTGTACATTCCACGGGTCCACCAATGTTGTGCTCTCGCCCGGGTACTCACCTGTGTGCCGTTCTGGACAACACCCTGACCGTGAGTGTTCCAGTATGCATTTGACAGCCTGGCCTCAGCCTGGCCTATGGCCAGAACGGCCAGCAGCGCGACCGCAATACGCATCATTGTGTCACTGCGGAGTACAGCGCAAGAGTCTGTACCAATGAAATGTCGCGATTATACGAATGAATATTGGGAAGTGCTCCGAACACACGCGACGAGGCAAGCGGGGCATCTGTTGATGATGGAGGGAGCGCCGGGTGAGTGATGCCGCCGCCACACCACCCGGCAGAGTCCAGGAGCTGCCCATCATCACCCCACAGTTCGGAGCAGGGCAGCCAGACGGACCTCTCGCCCATGTACTACCGCACTGCCCACTCTTCCCTGCCGCCCCAACAGAGCATGTCATAATGCCAATGTGGCGTCGTCAGGTTTGGCACAAGGGAGCTGGGCGCACAAGGCGCACGAGCTTGCGCGTTTTCGTGGCGGACGGCCGCACACATTTTGAATCTCCAGCAGTGCTAGGGAAGAAGAGGCAGGCTTGTCCTGGGCGCGCTCTGGCATACAACTACAAGCTGCGGCTTCCAGCATGCACTTGCTTCTTGGCAGTGTTTTTCAATCTTGACGGACTGTTGCCTGACCCATTGGTGAGATACACGGCGCTCCGCCATAGCCCAAACTTCCAAGAATGGCCGCCAGCATCAAGGCGTCGTGACTTCACTTTTTTGCATACATAGAGAGGCCGGGAGGGGAAGGGCGGGGAGGGCAGCTCAACCTGCTTGGCGGACAGGGGGGGGGGCTGCAGGTGTGGCTGGGGGTCGAGCGACGCCGTGACCGACGCTTGAAACGGGCGCATGCCTGCAGTGTTCCGCATGCGCCCCTTCCTTGCCATTGACTGTACACGTCGAAGGGCGACGCTTGGGAGGCGGGGCATTGGCCGACAGCGCCCGCAGGCGCAAAGGGGCCGCCTGATCAGGGGCCGCGCAATATCACCAGTCCATTCAACTCCATCTCCACGCTTGCAAACACCACCGTTTGCCTCAGCCTGTGTCGCCCTCTTGCCGTTGCGCGCATCTGCGCTTGTCACCGGTCGCATTGGTCAACAAGTGTAGTGCTGCAGTACTGGTGCTGTGATCTATTCGTGACTGTCAAGCGACAAGGCCATCCTCTCCCAAGGCCAGCAAGTGGCGCGGTTGGGTGCCACCTGTCCATATGACTGCCCCTGACTTGAGATGAGTCATGCGCAGGGCCTCACGGTGGCATGACAAGTTCTAGCCTTGCAACGTCATGTGTCATGCGCCGCAAGCCAACGCTTTTTGTACGCCTGCTGCTTCGACTGTCCCCCTCGCGCACCAAGCTAGACAGTGTTGCTGCTGCGACAGAGTGCATGAAGTGCACTGGTGCCCACCCGCCTCTCTGACCACCCAGGCCACGGTGGATGCATGCTTGCTGAGGCTTGAACTCTCGCCAAAACCTTCCAGAGCAACGCGGATTTGCCTGCATTCACACACTCTACGGCACTTGCCCCGACAGATCGTCTGCTTTGCCTCCCTGTAACATCGGGTGTGCTGATTCGGCTTGGTGGAAACTAGGTGATGCAGCAGCTGAAGGCTCACCGCGCGAGCGCTAGGTGGGCAAAGATCTTTCTGGGGAGCGCGCTGGCTGAATGAGCGCGTCCCAAGCTTGTGCAGCGCGTTTTCACCGTCTGAAACAACAAAGGATTCATTTGTGCTTGCTGGATTTCGCGCCGGTAGACCCCGCCGCTCTGCCGCGCCCTGCACGCCAGTGCGCCCCATCGCGAAAGCTCCCAGCTTGCCGCCCCTGCCGCCGATCGCAGGCCCCAGCGGCCTCAGCAGCTGCGCGCCGCCCCGGCACGCCCGCGTCGTGCCGCGGCGACGCTGCCGCGTGCGGCGCATGGTGCTGGGCGCGGCGGGCCGACCGGGCTCGACATCGGCCGGCACCGGCCGACCAGCCCGGCGGGCTGGGAACTGATGAAACAGGTTGGCTGGAAGCAACCTTGCCCAACTTATGCAAAACCCGGATGCAGACATGCATGCATGCTTGCAACACATGCATGCGCACATGCACTTGCATGCATGGGGCACCGGCGCCACAGCGGCCCCATGCAGATGCCGTCGCCGTTGCTCGCACGCATCGACATACGCCTACCCGACGCTGCCTGCGAGCCGCGCTTCGAGCGTCCGACCCCGCTGCCGCCGCCGCCGCCGCCGCGCAGGCCCTCAGGAACGCCAACGTGAAGATCGTCTCCCCCCAGGAGCTCGTCTTCGCGTCCCAGGCCGGCAACACAACCATCATTGACGTGCGACCCGCAGACCTCTTCGGCTCCGGCTGCATAGAGGGCGCGGTCAACGTGCCGTACTACAGGCCGATCGAGGGGTGGTGAGCGTTTGACTTTGACCAATTTTGACTGGTTGACCGCCGCCGCACGAAGCCCGTTTCAACGGCGATATGTTGAGCGGCCGGGGCGCGCATCGGCCCTCAATGCGGTGGAGCGGCACGCGTCTGCAGCCCCCGCCGGCGCCTTGCCATCAAAAATGTATGGAGGCCCCACCACCCCAGATCAGATCAGATCGCCGGCCGCTGGCAACCTCGCAGGACGCCGTGGCAGATCGCGCGACGCGTCGGCTACGCCGCCTTTGGCGTCTTCAACGGTACCGAGGTGCGCGGTTTTGCACACGCTTCACGCGCATGCGCGCGCTCTCGTCGTGCGCGCGCCGTCCAGAGGCACTCGCCCGCCCTCCCGCCGTCTTTGGGCGGCGGAAAGCTTTTGCAACGGGCGCGGGCAGGCTCTGAAGTGTGGCCGCCCTGACTGCCCTTTGCAGATGCCCCATATTGTCAGATTCACTGGCCTGCCCAGGCAACCCCCTGGCGCCATTTTGGTACCGCGCCACAGCGCCTGCCGCAGCGGGCAACACGCCCACCGCCACCGCCCTCCCCACTCCCCACCACCATGCCCGAACCCCCACCCCCCAAATCCCTCTGTCAATGTTTTCAGGTCAACCCAGAATTTGCGGCCCAGGTGCAGGCCGCGGTGCGGGGGGACACCGCGCGCCCCCTGGTCCTGTACTGCAGCCAGGGGGGGTCCCTGGACGGCGGGAAGCTGCAGCGCGGCTTCCAGACGCGGTGAGCCCGGCGCCGCCTCCCCCCCCTTTCGATTCAATCAGCTCGTTGCATTGCGCGGAGCGCCGCAGGGGGCCTCGACGCACCGGCGGGGGCGTGTCGAGCGCCGCGGGGCTCTGTGATTGACGTGTTGTGGGGAGAGTGTCGCCGTGTGTTGTTTTATTCGAGCATGGTGTGATTTGAATGCGGGGTGTGTTTGATCGTGGGGTCATGGCTGGGAGGCTCGGGCCCTGCACGTGAAGGGCCGAGTCGCCGCCCCGCAAGCTGGCCCCTGAATCGGGGGCGGCGGGGCGGAGCGGACGGAAGCGGACGGGCGGCCAGCTGCCCAGCAGGCCGCGGCAGGGCGTGAGGGACAGGCGGCCCCGCGGGGTGCGGGCGCGTGTCCGATCTCAATCAACCACCCTTTCCCCAACCCAACCACGGGCGGCACACCTTTTGCACATCAACCCTATTTCCAGATCGCTGGTGGCGGCGTATGAGTTGGTGCAGCGCGGCTTCACGGCTGTAAGCGTTATGAAGGTGGGCGCGTGCCGACGCGCACGGATGTGGGCGGGCGCGCGGGCCTGCATCCGAGCGGCCCGCAGGGCTCTGCCCTTGTGGATGGTGGTGGGGCGCGGGGCCCGGCGAGGGGAAAGCGTGCGGTGAGGCGCGGGTTGAGGCAGGGTGCCGACTTCACAGCTCGGTTGCAACAATATCGCATGGGCGCACGCTCACTCACACACATTTTTTCTGGCCCCCTCACTCTGTGTGTCTCTCTCTCGCGTGTAGCGCGTGTGCGCCCTGTCTCCATCTCTCTCTTTTCCTCTTTCTCACATATACACACACAATTACTCACACACACACACACACACACACACACACACACACACATGTCCATCCATCCATTCAACCAGGGAGGCTTCCAAGAATGGGAGGCGTCCGGCCGCGACGTGCTGACCCCCGGCGACGCTCGCGACGCCCAAGCTGCACCCGCCCCGCAGGCGGCGACCAACGAGCCCCGCAACTGATGCGGCGCCGGCGCAGCCGGTCTCGCAGTGCACCCCGTCCGACTTCTGTGCCCAGCGCTGTTTTGGGCGCCGTGACTCTGAATCTTGGAGACAGAGCTGTCCTCTCTGCGTTTGTTTGGCGCCCCCAAGGGGCCTCGTCCGCACTCATCAACCGATCTCACCGCCGAACCCCGCCCACAGCCGCGAGCTGGGCAGTGTCGCCGGGGCTGTTTTTTTCCGCTGTGCGTCTGTCACTGTACCAGGTGACTTGAAACCTGCTTTTCAATTCTGAGCCGATGCTGGAGTGTGCAGAGGCCCTGAGGCCCCTTACCCGTGTCAAGCAGGCCGCGCGTGTGGGGGCCTGCACCCACGCACAGTCTGATGTGCTCGAGACCGAGCCGTTCCCTCATGAGGAAGCGAAGCCAGGACAAAGCGAGGCGCAAATCCACCCCAGACCCTCAGCGCCGCGTCTACAGGGGTTGCTGCGGCGGCGCCGGCGTCGGCGGGCGCCCCCCGACCCCTGGTTGGACGCAGCTGCGATCTATCGATAGGTGCTGTTTTTTTTGTGTGCGGCGGCCTGCGTAAGAGGCAGCAATCGGAGCGTGTCTGTGAGCGCCAGCCAGGCGCGCCGCTTCGGCCCGCACTTGTGTTGCATGTTGCGGGGCCCTGGCACCACACCCCACCCACGTGCGCCCCTGCGCTTTGCATAGATCACCCACACTGCTGCGCTCAGATCTTGCGCTCGTGCCAGCGGCCTTGCCGTCCTGGATTCGCGCAGGGGGCCGCGCCCACGCACCCTTCCCCCCGTGCTGCCGAGCCCGGATGTCGAGAGCTGAATCCTGTACGTCAAGTGATGTTACGTTGCGAGGCCTGTCGCCTGTCGCGCAGAACGCCCATTTTTGGTGCTGGGTCGCAACATCTTTCTGTTTGGGTGTGCGCCGCACATTGCTGCTGCCCTGCCTGCAGCTGAGCTGATGATGAATCGAGTGAGAAATGTAGAAGAGAGCGGAGCGCGATAACACATGAAAGCGCGCTCGTCAGGGCAGGTGTAAAACACACAGAGGGTTGTTTGCCCTGTTGAGCGCCACGCCAGCCTCTCTACGAGCCGGCGCTTGCGCAGCGGCGGTCGCAGCTGCGGGCGACCAAAACAAAAGAGGGACTCCCTCGCGGGGGCAGGAATGTGAAATCGATCACAGAGCGGCAGGCCCGCAGCCGAAGCAAGGCGGTTGCACAAGTGGGAAGGACGGCCGCGACCTCCAAACAGTCTGTCTAGAGTGCTAAGTTCCCACTTGGTCACTCACATTGAGCATGGGCGCAAATGCTACCAGCCAAGCTCAAAACAGCACCAGCGGCGCTGCCATAAAACGGCACCGAAACCACGACCTTGCCACACATTTCGCATGCCGTCCCCTCATAGCTTGCTGGCTGGCCGCCCAGCGGGCGGGGCGCGCGGAGCGGCCGCCGGCGCCAACGCGGGCGCAGGCGCGGGCGCGGGCGCGGGCGCGCCGCTGCCGCCGCCCTCCTGCAGCATCGCCGAGAAGAAGGCCCTCAGCACTGCAAGCTGGGGCCCCTCCAGGCGGGGTATGACGTGGCCGCGGGGGTGAAAGATCACGATGGGGTTTGCAAACTTGCGGACCTGCGGGGTTAGCGGGGCGGCGTCGATGCAGGGATCACGGTCTGGTGACATGGACCCAGCCGGCGCACGCACGGATTAGAGGGAGGCTGCGCAGGGTGTTGAGCGGGCGCGAGTTGAGGAAGGGAGGGCCGGGTTGCAGAGCCGAAGCTGCCGCGTCCCGTCCCCCAGCCCCCACAAACTCAGCGTGGGGTTTGGCGAGGCATTGTGCAAGTGAGCTGAGGGGGGGCACATGCATATCAGTGACGTCGCTCGATAGGCGCGGCAGCAGGGGCAAGCCGCGGCGGCCCCTCGGCGATGACGTCACCGTGACGTCACGCACCAGGGTGATGGAGTGCTCCTTGATGAAGTCCTTGTGGCCGATGATGTGGACAGTGGGCAGGTCCACCTGCAGCAGGTGGCAATTTTGAAAGGTGAACATGCACAGTGATTTGGAAAATCAAGCAACGTCAAACATCACGTCAGTCGACGCCTTTGTCGCTAAGGCAGCCCCAGGGCGGCGTGGCGGGAGCCGAGGCGCACAGCACGGCCTTGAGAATGCACAACGCCAGCCGCGCGTGGATGGAAGGAAGCATACACAGATCGACAAGCAAGAACGGCGCGCCCGCCCCTGCTGCGGTCAGCACTGGGCGGTTGGTTTGTGTTTGACCCCTGTTTTGAACCCTGTTGTACTGTTGTCGTTTCGCACCGGTTGGTCTTAGTGGCGGGAGGATTCTAGCTGGCCTAGACGATTCTAACAAAGCAAAGCATACGCAAATTGCCTGTCCTGTCATGAAGCTTTCTGCCCTCCAATTTCCCGCCATACACCCCTCCAATCCCTGAAAACAAAATCTCCAAGACTATCGCGCGCACACACGCACACACACACACACACACACACACGCACGCACGCACGCACACACGTGCTGCCCACCCTGCCGTTTTTGAACGCCTCCAGATGCCGCGGGTGCTCCGAGAACGCCGCCCCAAACAGGCACGCGAACCGCAGCCGCGGCGCACCCTGCAGCGCGCCGCCGCCGCGCTGCATCGCCGCCACCGCGGCCGCCATGATGGCGCCCTGGGAGAAGCCAATGATGCCGTCGAACGGGCCGCGCTCCATGATGATTTTTTCGACGAATGGTTCGCTGTTTTCGAGGCCGTGGTACGTCAGGCGGAATTCGGCCAGGTTCTCCTGGGAGTTTGTGTTTGTTTGTGTATGTGCGTGAGCACAGGTGGCAGCGCGGGCGTCAGCGCGGGCGTCGGCGCGGGCGGGCGTGGGTGTGGGTGTGGACGTGGGCGTGGGCGTGTGGGTGTGCGTGTGCGTGTATGTGTGATCGAGAGGGAGAGGGGGAGGAGACAGAGGTCTGGGCAAGTTGGCGGCGCTGGGACGAGCCTGCCGGCGGCTGTGCGCCTGGAGTGCTGGGGGCTCAACTTGTATTCGACGCAGCCAGCAGGCGTGAGGAGAGGGAGGGCCGCTGGATCTGGCCCTGTGGTCATACCTAGACGACCGCTGCTCTAACTGCCCCGCTTGGAAGAAGGCCTGCTTATGTCTCCTGCCAAGGGGGCGTGCGCCCTCTTACTAGTTCCCGACTTGGCCGCACCCGCTTTCTCCTCTGGCCATCACGGTTAGGGGCGTAACCCCTTTGGGGAGCCAGGGTTCCTCCCCTCGCTGCTGGAAAAGCATGATGTAATGTAATGTAATGTGGTCATACCACTCACCTCGGCGCCTTCTGTGGAGAACCACTCTGCGAATCAATGCGACGGCGTTTGCGGGATAGTGGGCGGGAGCGGGGGCTCATGGCGTGACTGCAAAAGCAAGGCCACCGAATAGGCCGTGCGCGGCCCCCGCACACAGCAACGCGCCACGCGGCCAGGGCGCCCAACAGGGGTGCGTCCAGCCTCGTCTGACCAGTCCATGCAAAGCCACCGCAACTCAGGCCGGCCTGCGTTGGCTTGCGCCCGAGCCCCAACGACAGCCGCCAAACAATCAAAAAACTCAAAAACTTTTGACCCCGCACCCCGCACCGTAGTAGTCGCGGCCCGGGAACGCAGCGGCCACGTCTGGGGGTGCCTTGCCGCGTGCCCTGTTGGGGGCGTCCACGAACACCTGGGGGTGAGTCAGGGGTGAGTCAGGGGTGGAGTCAGTGGTGAGTCAGTAGTGAGTCAGTGGTGAGTCAAGAGATTTGGGGGAGTAGAGGGAAGGGGGGGGAAAGTGGGCAGCCAGGTGGTAGGGGGCAAGGGCGTGCACGGCTGCCGGTGGGCGCCGCTGCGGTTGCAGGGCCCCAACGCCTTGTGAGCGGCGGGCGTAATGGATAGCCACAAACACAGGGTTGGTCGCGGGTCACCAGCAGCCGCGGGTATTGTAAAGACACGTTTGCAGCTCCAGCACTCCACGCGACCCCCTGTGGGGCTGCCCGGGCTGCCTGCACCATCCCCCGCGACTCCCCCGGCGCGCCCGGGCCCCGCGCCCCAACAGGGCGCACAGGCGGCGGGCCGGGCAGCTGCCCAAAGTCCCCTCATCCCTGTGAATCCCATGCGATCAGCAGCCCTAGGGGCACCCACCATCTCCACCAGATCTTCCAGCGCCTGCCCCAGCCCCGCGCGTTCGAACTGCTCTTTGAAAATCGCGCCGCTCGTCCTCCAGGAGTGCAGGCACAGCACGCGCAGGCGCCGCCGCCCGCCGCCGAGGGGCTGCGCGGCGCCGCCCGCCGGGTCCATGGTGGCGCTGCAGGAGCCGGGACACTGCTAGCCTTGTATGGCTGGGGGCGGGGGCAGCGGCGGCGAGGCTGCGCTTTGGCGCGAGGGTGGCGTGAAGCGACGCGTCGCCCGCCCGGCTGGGATTTCCGCGGTTGCGTCGCAGCTGGGCTGATGCAGGATGACAGAGGTTTGACGCCTGATTATCAAGAATTGATTAGAACGCGTCTTTCGGCCGCTTGCGACGTGCGCGTACTCTGACAGCGATCTTGGCGAATTGCTCAGCGAAAATGGCCGTATGAGGCACACTTTTGTTGTTGACTCATTGAACCATGCATATGCTGACAACGATGTGCCGCGGTCAAGGGGGAAATCATCATGAGCGAGTCACGTTACGATAGCAACGCCGCCACATCAGCACTGCTCTGAGCAGACAAGAGCCGCCACGGTTGGTCGATTTGCGGGCCTGGTGGCAGCACAGCAACGCAGGCCGCCTGAGGCTGCCATTGAACTGATAATAATGTGAAGTTATGAGTGAAGGTGATATCTCATGCCTGTGGTGCGCTGTGCGTGCTGCCGCAGGTGGTGACCTGCCTGCTCTTCGCTTGCACCACTGTAGGAAGTGGGGGGACGCTCCAGCCCGGTCACTGCAACGTGACTATCCCACCACCTGCAAAGCCCTCACGGATCCTGGGCCGGGCCGAACCCGATTTTCCCTGTGGCTTAATAATGAAATGTAAGGCGCTACTGAAGCAGGTGGGATCAGCACCCGCCCCACCGACCTTGGAGGGCCACGGGGTTTCGACCTTCCCCTCGCTGCTGGCAAATGTGATGAAACTCAATTGTCAAAGCTAGAAAGCTGATTTTGGGGAGGCGTCGGCTCAGAACAGCAACGAGCTCGCTCAGCAAGGTCGTGCTGCCATTGCTGCTGCATGCACAATCTTGTGCAAGAGAGCAGGGTCTGGACCAAAAGGATCCTGCGTGCACAATCTTGTGCAAGAGAGCAGGATCCGGACCAAAACGATCATTTCGAGTGAACCCAAGGCTGATTCGTTACATGTGAGCCTCCACCATGCGATGCACCTCCGAGGTGTGTTAGATGGGTGCGTCAGCCTGACCTGCCAAGTCACCAGGGCAGTTGAATGTGTCCGTGCGTGCCAGGGCGGGCGGCTGTGTGCCACGGTGAGTGTGTCAGGGCCCAGGAAGGTCTGGGCTGTCAGACCGCAGCTGGCGGCAGCCGAAGAGGCACTGCGCTGAGCTGGCGCGTAGCGATCAACACGCAGCGGCGCACGGAGGAGCGCAGCCGTCTAGGAGTGTCGGCTAAAGGGACAAACGGAATCTTGCGCTACGGATGCGACGGCGAGAAAGCGGTGATCGGGTGTGATGGGGTGTCACATCACTCGAGTTATTTGCTGCGCGCTCGTGTGGCCGGATGCAGTCACAGAAGCGCCGTGGAAGCTGCGTCACGCAGAGGTACGTGAGGGAGTGTTGGGGGCGCAGGAGCAAAAGTGAGGCCACGACAGCGTGGCCATCCAGAGGGGGCCAGCCGGGGCGGCTTGGAATACCCAGGGGGCCGGCGCCCCGCAGCACAGCGCTCAGCCGCACGTGTGTGCTGAAGCCCACCGCAAGTCTCCCAATGGCTCGCCGCTCGCGTGGCGTGGCCGGGACGAAGAGGAAGCCCCCGTTTGGGGGATGGGTAGCGTTATGTTGCCAGGAGCTCGGAATGTGTGGTGCACAACATGTGTGTGGGGATGGGGGGTAGCGGGGCCGCAAGGGTCGAAACTTATCTTTGAAGTGCCGATATGGAAAAGCCGTGATGCGTTGAAAACAAGGGGGCGGCTAAGCGCGTGGCGCGGTCAAGCGTCGCGTCGCTTGGGCTTGGGGCCCCGTGCCGCGCAGCAGGTGGGGGGGGGGGGGCGAGGCGCAGCAGGCACCGCCCCAGCAGATCTTTGCTGCAATATCAGATCATCTCATGACAGATCTGGGAGGGAGGAGCGCATCGCCCCGCAAAACAAAGTCTTGCTAGGTGGGAGAAAAGTCAGGATGGACAGGGGCCAGGCGTGCGCGGCGAGGCGAGCCGCTGTGGGCCAGTTGGCAGTCAGGATGATGCAGGGTGTGCGCATTCGTGCCAAGTTCCAAATGCGGGGCTTATTGAATTGCGCGTTATTCTGCCGCCGCCGCGCTGCAGCCGCGCACATGTTGCTAGGGCTGGCTCGCATCAGGCGGGGCGCCGCGCCGCCCACTGAGTGTGCCTGGCCTCCATCAGTCACACGCGCGGCGGCAGAGCCCAGGGTAGGGCGCCGGAGACCCTCAGCAGCGCAGAGCCGCCCGCGGGCAGCCGCACCACCGAAGAGTTGTAGCCCGCGGCCGTACCGACAGCCGCAAGCAGCGAAGTCCCGTTGCCGTCGACGCCCACGCCGCGCGGCGTGATCAGCGGCGCGCCGCACTCGATCGCGGCGGCCGCGGCGCCGCTGGTCACTGCGATGTACTGCACAGTACCAGATGCCCGGCTGATGCCGAGGCGGTGCGACAGCCGGCAGTTGTCCCGCGCCTCGCGGCGCATGAAGGCGGCCGCCAGGTCGTCGAGCTTGAGTGACGTCACCGGCCAGTCAACAACCGCCAGCAGGCGGGCGAGGACGGTCTCAGTCCACATCATCAGCAGGCTGCCGGCGCCGCCGCTGCCGGCGACGCGCATGTTGGCCTGCCAAGGGGGGTGTTACAAGGAAAGAGGGGGAAGGGTGACATCGGAGAGTGCGAGCGTGGGTCAGCCCCAAAGGGAGAAACGCGAGGGCTGGCGACAGTGGGTAAAAAGGGCGACCCGCAAGAAAGACCACTGCCCAACACTGTACAGGACGTGACGGCGTGTTGGTTGAGCCACGTCTGGGCGGCGGGGTGACGCCACAAGCTCTTGGTGTGTCTGGCTGTATCTCCTCCAGCTCGCAACCCCCCCACCACACGCGTGGGCGCCTCCACACACACACACACACACACACACACACACACACACACACACACACACACACACACACACAGAAATCCGCAGGAACCGGCCCCTGCAGCATACCTGGTGGAACATGTGGCCGTCGTGGCGCAGCGACAGCAGTCCGTCGGTGAGCACCCGCTCAGCTTCCTTCCACAGGAGGTTCTGAAGGCTGATCTCTTTGTCGGGGGCGGCGACCTCGCTGTTATATAAGTCGAGCGCCTCTGCATTGCGCAAGCCATAAAGGCAGTGCCAAGGTTAGCTGAGGTCGGCGCTTTGGGGATTAAGGAGGTTGTATCAAGAGAGTTGACTGGAGCGGTGGCGCGCCTCAGAGGATGAAGGACGGCCGCGGTCCACGGAGAGGCAGCACTGACAGCTGCTGAGCACGCCTATTGGGAACGGCAACTGCTCGTCCAGGCTGCACCTGGCGGGGCCCGCGGTCCGCACAACAGTCAAGGCCACGCGTGGTGCACACAAAAATGGCGGGAACAGCACCCCTTGGGCGGCCATTTGGCGGGGCTTGTGTCAGAATGTGTAAGCAGATACGCCGAGGAGCCAGTCGCACGTCCGCACCTTGCGCAGACGAGGCACTGTAAGCCATCGCCGTGGCCCATCTTGGCGTGATGGCGAGCGCGAAAGCCCCAGGAGCGTAAGGGTAGCCGTTGGTCTCCTGCAATGACAACAAGGAGCAGTGTGGCATTTTCGTTGCTTTGAAGTTCTTATCCTTCCTATACAAGACCCGAACGTACGGCTGCGGCTCTGCAGGCCTGCAGGCGTTGTGCATCGAGGGGCTCTGGACGCCACCAACACGCGAGGCGGCACAGCGACCAGCATGCACGGCCGGCCTTGGGGGGCGTGTGGATGCCAAGCACCCGGCCAGTGAGCTCCTGCCCGTCCAAGCGTGCTTGTGCCCCAGAGGGTCGCTTCCTCAGGAGCCGTCGGCAGCCAGGTTGCTGGCTGCCCCCTGAACCGTCAACCCTAATCAGCAAGGTCTGGTTTACCGTCTGCATTCGCGCCCACCTGCGTCGTATACAGCACATGGTGCGGGTTCGCCCTGTTGGTCAGCACCGGCCACGTGTTGTCGCCCGCGACCGCCGTCACGCCCGACGCAGCCAGCGCGGCGAGGCTGTCGGCGTTGAAGAGGCCGCTGATGGAGGGCGTCACCATGGACGACCGGCTGAATGTGGCCTTGGAGGTCAAGCCCAAGAAGTCCTAGGGTTTGGATTCAAATTTGAAAGCAAGGGCGTCACAGCGTACAAATCAGGCGGCTTTGCGTTTGATTGCGAGGTTGCGCAACGGGCAGGTTTTGGCGAGTCTCGTCATCTCGGTGCGCGATGGGCAATGGGCATGCTTTTTCTTGCGCCCTACATACGGGTCGGGCGAGGCTGGACTGCCGGCTAGATCCCAGCGGCGCCTCACCGGTCCAGCCATGCGCGCGTTCATGTCCATCTGGGCCTTGGTAAAGTCAAAGGTGGCGTTGTCGAGCATCTGGTGTATCAAGGGTTGGAAGGGGCGGGTTACCGGGGAGGAGGAGGAGGCCTCACAGGGTCAGGTGGAGCGTCGAAAATGCACGGTTAATTAGACATTGGAGCCCTCACGTACTTGTGACTGCACGGGCGCGGGCAGCGGCCCACGCCCGAACGCATGCATGGATAAGGTGTGCATGCTCCCGCTGCAGCACCCCCAGCAGCCCGAAATCACAGCTGTGCGTGGTTTTGGGGCACCAAGAGTAGCGCAAGCCCGCGACTGCCGGTGCAATGCGCCGCACCCACCGGGTGGCTGAAAGTGTGGCTGGACCAGAAAAAGGCATCAAAGTACCGCGGGTCTGTCTTCAGCAGGCGGTACATCGGGTCGCCATCCAGGAACCGCTGGTTGGTCCATTTGCTGGTATCCGGCGGCTGCGGTACAGCATGCAGGGGGCAAGGGGCAGAGCTTAGCAAGAAGCGGGGAAACCCACCCGCAGGCAGGGTCGCCAGCGAGCACAACAGGGCATGCCCCAAAAAGGCGTCACATGCGGATGTCAAACGGGTGACCTGCACGCGCAAGGAGCGGCCTGTTGCATGCCAGTTGAGCGTGGTCCCTCCTCACCGTGGCGTAAGCGACGCCCGGCGCCCCAGGCACGCGCTTCCAGTCCTTGGTGCACGACCGGCAGAACCAATGGGCGTCCGCCGGGCAGTCTGCCATCGCGTCGCCCCAGCAGCTGCAGTTGAGCTGCGTGTATAGGGCGGTCTCGAAGCACGCGGGCTGGTTGATGACGAGGTCGTCGGCGTCGAGCGCCTCCAGCACGCCGTTGCCGTTGAAGATCTGGGAAGACGGGCGGTCGGGGCACGAGGGAGGGTGGAGG